CTCAAACTCCAATGAAGTCCATTGGAGTTTGAGGTTGTGGCGGGACAACGTGTGAACCTTCTGCAGAGCGAAGAGCCCGTCAAGTCGATGCGGATTCTCTGCACTGACCTTCTGGTGCTTCTTCTCCTGCTCGTATCTGTCGCTCCGCTCCCGCTGCAGCCTGTCCAGCTCCCTGCGCAGCTCCTCTGCCTCCTGACCAGCTGCTCCGCGGCCCACAAGTGCCTCCAGAAACTCCAGAACCCGCACCACTCGGGGAACCACCCCAACCAGGCACTCGCACCCGAACTTGTCTATGACCCGCTCAAACTCCTGGCCCAGCACCGCTGCGATGTCGTACACGTCCATGACGGTGAGCTCCGCCGCGGGTCTGTCCAGCGCTGACATAACGTGGGTCTCTGTCTGTCCCTGGTTCTTTAATTACACCCTCGAAATCCAGCATATCTCTGCTAACCTCAAAGCTTTCAACAGGCTCACATTAAGAGTGGAAATAATGAGTTTACGGAAGCACGCTGAGGCGTGTCTGAACGCCGAGGAAACCTGTTGGAGTTTGTTGACAGTTTAAACCTGACCAACGTCTGCGGTGCTGCTCTAACGCTGATGCTGCCTTCGGGTCAAACCGAAAACTCGGAAATTTAAGATTCCACCTATCAAAGTGCTGTGGCACACACTTACCCCCTTCTCAATTCAAAATAAGTCAATGAATAAAGTATATTAGCATATATTTTATGGCTCTTCTTATTCAATCAAGCTAAACGGTGAAGTTCTGTTTGTGCAAGTAATAATTTAATTTCAAAAACCATCCACTTCACAAGGGAACAGTGGATTAATATTACTATAAGCAACATAATAAAACATAAAACTAAAGTAGATTAAAGGTAATAGCAGTGTGTGCTTTCTCGATCACAGGCGCTGTGTAATTTATAGAAGTTGTCGTTTTTTCAACGGCTTTTGAAGACACCATTCCTCCTTCAAGTTATATACAAAGCACTACTGCGCATGTCAAGACGTGCATACGCAACCTTCTATGCCCAACCACCACATGCGGATGATTTCGCATGCAGTACGCAAAAACTTACCATTTATAAAACCATCCAGTCAAATATAGCGATTAAAGGATCTGTTTAAAGCAGATTAAAAACAAAATAAAGAAATAAAAAACATAGATTAAAAAAAACATTTGATACTTCATGGAAGCCCAACAATTACGTCCTCCAGACGCAAAAGTTTATTTCAGTAACCCAATTCACTAAGTGAAATTACATTATTTAGGTTAATTCTACATGGCTATTTTCGAGCCATTTCTGTTATTTATGATTTTCCACTAACAGCTAATGAAAACATAAAGATTAGAACATCACACCAATAAAAAAACATTTTAATACAGAAACATAGACTCGATTAAAACAGATGCTTGCTTATCCTTTTTTCTTATTTTTGTTACTTTTAATTCAACAAACAAGCCTCAACAAAGCATATTCGAATTTATAGAATGCAGTTGACCCATATTTAAAAGACTGACAAGTCAGCTTCTTTGGTATTATTCAAAAGGTTGGACTATTTTTCAGTGGTCTATCCTCCTTTTAGACAAAGGAACATTTGGTATTTCATTCAGTAACTGAAAATAAGTTCATATTGATTTTTGAAAGCATATTTCTGCTGAAACTATTTACTAAATTATACCCCCAAAAGCTTCCCAAGTTTGTAAATGGTATTTTATTAATGAAGCAACACAAGACCAAATTAAATCAAACATTTATTGTTTGAGTGACATTTACACTTCTTACAAGGAAAAAAAACACACCAGTATCTTTACTAAAATATATATATACATTAATAGATCTGAGTAAAAAGACATTCTTAAAGAGGAGAGGATGCATTTTAAGACCCTGCAGGAAACACTCAGAGACGCCTTAAAGTTGCTCATCAACTAACCCTAAATTTATATATTCAGCCTGCAAGAAGCGTTTGATAATAGGACATCTACAGCTGATACATAGTGTGCAAGCTTTAGGTCTGTCTATGCTTTAACACAGTATCTCTGCTCTCCTCTTGTAAAGGGACATTCGTGAGATAAATGTAGTGTAAGTAGCAGTCTCTTGTACAGACTGCAAATCTTTACAGGCAACATTTAATGCATCTATGAAGTATTATTCAAGGCCTCTGATACAATCTTGTTCAGTTCAGGGGGGGAAAAAAACTGCAAATTTGCACAAAAAGGCAAAACTAGAGGTATATCATACTTCTGCAACAACATGAACACACACCAAGTCATTCCCCAGTCTCCTTTCACCACTATCACAATATAAATAATACAGAACAGAGTATAGCAAAAAAAAAAGAGAGAAAGATGTGATCTAAAAGTGTGCAATAAGGCTGCCATAAACTTGATTAAATTCAACTGTTCATCAACAGGATATGTGGCCGATTTGTGTTTGCATTCCACATAAAAAGGTAGCAGTAGTTTTAATTTTTAAGTTATTAGTAATACAGAATTTTTAAAAAATGCCTAAAATAAAATGTTCTTAATATCAAACATGGAAAATATAAAGGAAAAACAGGGCAGTCCCTACAGGCATTAAGAGTAAAAAACAAGGAAACAGGCAGGAGGGCCGTTTTGGCAAACAAGGAATGAAAGGTAGAATAAAAATAAAGGAAAACGTTGAGAAGAAGGTTGACACTGGATTGTCAGTATAGCTGGAAATTCACAAAAAAGGCCAAATATTTCTTCTCTAAATCCGGTCATCCTGCAGTGAAGCTTTGCCATCCTCTGCATTTACTTGAACTGCAACATGAAAAAGAAGAAACTTTTAATTTCAAGTCGTGTTCCATTTTCTTATTTTTGACTGACTTTAGTTTTTATTACCCCTGGTTTCGATGGTATGTTGGGTTTTTGGGAGAGCATGGGTTTCCTCCCGAGGGGAGGCTTGCTGGGCTTGGGGGACATGTTGAGAGGACGGGGCTGCTGAACAGGTGACGGCGTGTCGCCGTTTCGCTCAGAAACTTGCTCCATAGGAACGCCGGCTAAGTCGTAGTGTTTCTTCCTGAGCTCACCCAGACGCAAACGCTCGTTCCCCAGCTGAGTTTCCAGTTCCAGCACTTTCACCTAAAGGATCGAGACACACACGCTGTTGTTTGTAACTAATGTTCGACGCATTCGGTTTTTCTCTAAAGTTAAATCTGTATCTCAGCTTTTCTTATCTAATTTTATCAACAAATTATTGTGTTGGTTCATGGCTGAAATTTTCCATTGAAGTATTCAGTCAGACTTTTCAATCGATCACCTTCAATACAGTTTGTGGAACAGCAAGTCATGGTTAGCAACACTGCTTACCTGTGACTCCATTTCTTCTTTTTTCAACTTGATAAGAGACATCCCAGAGAAGTCCATGGGATCTGTTCGAATGAAGCATATTAAGGGTTAGAAATCAACCAATACGTCTGCTGATCTTCTACACAAGTAAATGTGCACCCACCTTTGTCTTCCAGGTTTTCCTGTCCCGTCTTTGTTGAGGCCACGACTTTAGCAGCCATCTCGTTGACGTGACGAGAGGCCTGCTGGAGAACGCCCAGCCTCTTGCTGCTGCGGTCGGCCTTGACCTGAGAGGAAACAAGGAGATCAGCGTGAACAGAGCAGGTTTAGAGAAATCTTTTGGGTTTTCCGTTTAAAAAAAAAAAATGTCATGTTTGATTATCTGGAAACCGACCATGTTGTAAGGGTTTTTTTTTTTTTTTTTCTTTTTTCCATGAACTCCAACTTAGAAAGGCAGCTTGATGGGTTGAGAGCAGAAAATCCAATCTTACGTTAAAACATTTCGTAGACTTTACTTCTCTCTCACCAGAGCCCCGTTTAGATACGAGTTCATTACCCAAATTATTTTTATCAGGTCATTTGATCAGATTGTCTTCTGACACGGCCCTCAGCTAAGAATAAACATGAGTTTTCCTTTTCAGAACAAGTCCTGCACAATGAGCCAGCTGGCAGGCAGATTAGATTTTCCACATAGAACTTTGAATTTGACAATAATCTGTCGAAAGCTAACAATCAGATTTCTATTTTTAACGAATAGTTTTTTTTTTATTCCAGATGTTGTTGAAAAAAGTCAGATCAGATTGAAGCTAAATTATTTTGAAAACCAAAAGGTTTTTTGCCGTACTAACATTTAGCAAATTTCAAATCAGATTTCCATAAATGAAGTATGAAAGTAAAAAAGAAAAAAAAAAGAAAAAGGTGAATAAATGAGCATTGTTAAATAAATGGTTATTTGTTTAACAATGACAATTAGCTGTAGCCACATATTTTTTCTGTCTGAGCAAATTGATGGAGAAAATTAACTGAAAATGAACTTAAACAGTTTGACAATGTCCATGAAATAACATTTGGTTGTTACATTACTGCAGTTGAGTTAAACAGTCATGAGTGAAACGTCTCACTTGCACAGCCACATTGTCCTCTAATATAAAGCGTTCTTGTAACCTGGTTGTTCAAAGGATTTGGAATAAAGTAAAATTCTAGTCAAAACTTCAGCAGAAACTACAGGGTCAATCTGAATGTTGTCATTATTCCTGGACGTTTTGGTGTTTTGAATTATGGTTCTGGTCACAATTTGTTGCTCACCACTGCTGTGAATTACAGGAAGACAAGACTCACCCTAAAGATCTGACAGGTCTGCCTGATACTGTTCTCCAATAACATTTCTACTGACTTCCTCTTCCTCATTGAATAAATCATCATATAAATCTCGAGCATAAATTTGAGTTCATAAAGTGAAGGCATTTCTCTTAAGCTGGAACTTATTAATGCTCTGACAGCCAAGTTCAGCAAATGTAACACTAGGTTACTAGCTACGTTCTCAGCTGCCTTTTGCTCTACTTGTTCTTTCCTCCTCTTAAATATTTACCCATGTCATGGGAATAAATCTATAATTTGTGAGCTACAAGTCTAGACAAAACCAAAAAGGAAAAGTTGTAAAAATTGCCTTTTAATGGACAAGATAGAAGACTAAATTGACACATTTCCCAAACCTTACTACCGAATATAGATTTTTAAAAGTTATGAAGATTACATTACATTGGCTTTATATGGTAATGTTGGTGTGGAGTAGAAGCCTCCTGAACATGATATTTTCTAAGATGTTAGATGATTACCTTTGAGGCAGCGACCAGCTGTGCTGTACTCGCAGCGATCTCATGCGAGCAGACTATCAGCTCCTCATATTTACCAGTGTGCAGCACCACCTTGTCAGCAGAATCTCTACAATTAGAAAAAAACATGAAAATTACATCACCCCTTCAGCCTCTTTTCTGCTCACACAATTCAAAATAGGCAACAAGACAAGACGGTAAACAGGAACTCACACCAACTCCGTGGCTCCCCATCCCACGGCCTTGGCAGCAGAGATGAGTCCCTCGGTCCAGCGAGAGTTTCTGGCGTAGAATTCCCTTATGCTTGCTCCGCCCTTATAGAGAAACGCATCAACGCATTTAGACGAGATTTCTGAATGAAACGCCACCACTTGAATCTTAATCGGCGACGAATAAGCCGTCTACTTTGAGTTGGAAACTTAGAAAATAGTGACTCACCCTCCCACCCTCAACGATCTCCTTCTGCAAGTCTGTGGACGCTACGACCAGCATGCGGATGGCCTGAAGGAGGATACGTGTGAAACTGAGTAAGAAACTCAACATATGTTCACACGAATCATGAATAAGAACACACACTAAGCTTGTTGGTCTATGACAAGTTTGAACATTGTTTAAAAGAATAATAAATAAAAAAACCCTCACCTTCATCAGATCAGTGCAGCTGTAGAGGATTCTGGGAAAAGAAGTGGGGTTTAACAAAAATGTACACAAAATTTTAAAAAATGATTAGAAACCAATGTCCGAGTGGTACAGATGAATTTAGATATGTAAAAAAAAAAAGAACAAACCTTTCATTGACCTCCAGTTTTACCCCTGATGTGTCTTTCCGTGCCTGATTCATCATTTCCTAAATTGAAATCCACACAGGACAATTATTATCTGCAGTAAAGGCACAATTTAAAATAAAATTTTTGAACAGCGCGCGCTACGGTACGTCACTGCTTACATCAATCCTGCGTACAGCCTCCTCAATAGCTGCTGATGTTGCTGCCATTTCCTTATCCACCAGATCTCCCAGCTCGCCCTGACGGATGTCCATTCCTTTCGGCCGCAGCTCCTAAATAGAAAACGCAGTCAAAACCATTTCAGTCTGGGTTTAGGTGGAAAAAGAAAAAAAAACTAAAAGCATGTTGCAACAAAAACAAATGGGGGGGAAAAAAAGCAAAGCAGAAGTGTTAATCTCAAGCTGCATCTCTCAGAGCTCATTCAGAGTTTCTCTGGGAGACACGCAGTGCCAAACATCTGTTGGCTCCACCAGGTTAAGCAGAATGAAAGATATTTATTAATTTAATATTTTACGCTAGCAGCATTATCTCTCTCACATAATTGTTTACCAGAACGCTTTCGGCAAAAAAAGGTTGAACTAGTATGAGTGGAAGAGGTGCCAATAATTGTGCCATTGGGGATGGTGTTCAAAACTAAAGTTTCCTGAGAAGTGTAACGTTGTGCAACTGCCGTCCCCAAACGACTACCTAAACAACATATTTCAGAGATTATACTGCTGATGAAAATATAAATGTGACAGTTTGTCCACTGAGCTGTTTTTTTTTTTTACAAGACTGTGCAGTAGAGAAATCATATCACCACAATTTATTTTCAACAGTAATCACAACTTTTCATTCTAAAAAAACAACAACAAAAAAAACATAGCAGCATTTAGTCCAAATAACCATTTGATCACAGCAATTTGTATTTAATTTGTCCCAAAAGCAAGAGAAACTGAACACTTAAAGTTCATTTAGACTGTTTAGCCAGACTAAACATCAAACCACCACTTATCTAAAGTGTACTCTTGCTAAAAAAAAATATTAAAATTGATTTGCAAAACTCAAGAGAAGGATACTAAAACAGTTCCATCAGGACAAGAGCATCAATCCCCAAAACATAAAATCTACCCAACAGGCAGATCATCAACATGTTCACAGTTATGCTGCTGAAGCTGATTTAACCCATCCTAAGACCACAGAACCACAGAAACAATGAATAAAATACACATGGGTCCAATTACCAGGAATAGTGACTTCTCAAGGCCATTGGTTACCAGATTTGTTTTATGTGGCGTCAAGAGTGAGGGGGGTAAATATATACATGCCACACCTTTCAGATCTTTATTTGGAAGAAAATAATTTTTGTCCCCCATCACATAAAATCCCAATAAAAACACATGGAAGTTTATATTTATAACTTTAAAAGAGCAATGTTTGAGCCAATGAAAAGTTACACATGATAGCAGAACATTTTTTATTTTCAGTAAATCAGCTCCATTGGTCATAATTTGCAAAACAATCAACAACTGTATTATTCAAGGAGCCATCATCTTAAAAATGTTTTGCAAAACAGTGAGGACAAAAAGTGCGATGCACAGCATCTCTGCAGAAATCCTACTGTTTCCCCTCACCTGACCCAGGTGCAGGATCTTCTGCACAATCAGTCGAACAGAAGCTGGATCGGCCCTCTGCAGGGTGTTCTTGGATTTCAGCTCCTTCAGGTACTGCAGACTCTGCATGGCACAGCCTCTGCAGTTCTCCGTCAGACCTGCAGGACATCACAGTGCAAAGACGCTCTGTCAGCAACATTTCTGCAAGGCTTGTTGTCCAAGAACAAACTCGCTTTAAAATTAATGCTTCTGCAGACATATGCATGTAAGGAGGAAGTGTGATGCGTGTCCAGCAGTTCAGTGTTCCTTACGATCAGCTTGGTCAGTGGGTGCCATGTGTGCCGTAGCGCTGCCGTTGACGATCGTGTCCGCGGCCAAGTGGGAGAACTGGGTCAGAGACCTCAGCAGCCCGCCAGCGTCTGGTTACGAGAGCATAAAGTAGGGGAGCAGATGGTTACATCAGATAACCTTTTGAACCGACTGCACTGCGTCATGAGGAGGAGAAGGAACTCACCCTCCATGTTGCGCAGATAATCTCCATGTCCCTTTTGCATTTTGTCGATGGAGCTCAACGTGGCCTCCGCTCGATTTATGAGGTAATCTGTGTGTAGGAGAAACAAAAACCAAATCCAAAATATTTATACACGCTGTGCTGTATGTCAACATCAAGTTCGTATTTATAATGAAGGATTTAGCTGCTTTTAATTTTAGGTATGTGGGTTTTGTAGCTTTCGGACCTGGAGAGCTGGTGCAGCGTATGTGCAGAGGATCATCCAGCTTGGCAACAGCATCTTGGATGATGTTCTCAGCTTCTGATATGGTGCCTTGGAGCAGAGCAAACTGCTCCTCCGAAAGCTTCTTCTTCATCTGTTCCTCCACACTGGTCTACAAATAAGCACACAAGAAGAGCACACATGTAAAAACAATGATTAACGCGTACAGTATGCATGCGTCAGTACAAGTCATCCAACCCAACAGCAATGCATCAGTGTATTTAAAGAGCTTAAAACGTGAGACTATTAATCTGTTTGCAGGTGTGATCAGTCGCTGTAGCAGTTTACCATAATACATTGACTAATCTGAAGTGTTGCAATCACTCATCTTGGGCCTCCTTCTGGATCTCAGCTGAGCAAAGCTTCTGGATAGATCAGCAGACACAAAAGAAGCTGATGCTTTTGATAAGATTGTTTTGAAAACAGCCAGATCAGGGTGATGCCAAGGCTTTGAGTTCGTCACTGGATAAATGTTCACAAAGCTGGTCAGCAGTTCTTAGAAGCGCTTGATTGTAATGTTGCCAATAAATATTTTTATGTCGATTTTTGAGCAGCGTACAGATAATTTTTAAGAAGCCATTCTTTAAAAAGGTAAACAAAGAAATATATATGATGCTCCTTTTATGGCTTTATTGTCTTAATTGATATCAGGCCCCATTCTGATCACAAACAAACTCTTCTTAGTCAAAAGAAAATCATTTTAATCAAAATCTGACAGAGCTATAAATACATTTTGGCTTTACTGCTTTTTGGTAGAAACTGCTGAATAATTGTGGTCCTACTTATGATGAAATTTAAAAGAAAGTAAAAACTACGGTTATTAAAAGATGAACGGCGTCTTGTTCTTAAAATTTTTAATTTTAACATTTCAATAATAATTAAAAAAATGAAATGCGTTAGTGGGCTGTGCTGTTTAAAGTTAAAATATATCCAGAGTGATCAAGTCAAAGTTCCTGGCAGCTAGTGAGGCAACACAGCAGGTTTTAATGGCTGCCGTTTAGACCTTTGTAATTTTAAACCGTTTTGTCTGAAGAGCGACCCGTTTTACTGTCATGACAAAGGAGAGACAAAATCCCCTGATGTAACCAAAAAACTGTAAATTCAACAATATTTTACTCATTGATGCTTGATATTAATTTGAATTCAGTTTTTCTTTTTCAGTCGATATCCACTGGTGTCCATATAGGCCCTGGCTAAACTTCAGCTATTGATTGTCTTCTTTTCACAAGGTGCTTATAAACTGGACTTGAAGACGTTTATCACTTGTTTAAAAACAAAATATTAAGTTGTCACCGATTTGAGAATATCAGAAAATGTAACCTCACACACAATTTAGGTAACAGAACAACAGTTTTGACATTAAGAGCCTCTTTCTAGCTCCCATTCACATTCTGTGACGGGTCATTGATGGTCCATTTGACATTTACGGTGGTCGTGTCTGTTTATTTTAAAAAGTAACGCAGTGGGACTCCTGCGTCCTGACTGACCTTCTCCCTCAGTTTGCCCTGCAGCTCTCCCAGCTCCCTGCTGCTCCTCTCCCGCTCCTGCTGAAGCGACGACTGCTGCAGCTGCGCCTCCTGCCGCAGAGATGACAGCTCTGCCTCCTTCTCCCTCACAGATCGCATCAGGCGCTCCTTCTCCGCCTGCAGAGCCGTCATGCTGCTGTTCATTTCCAACGATGTCTGGCGAGGAAAAAAGAAAAAAGAAAAGAGAGGGTGACGAGCAAAGCCAGAAGAAGCAGATGGCCGTGAGTGAAAAAAGGAAAAAATCCATGCGGAAAAGTCTTGCGCTTCGCCAGCAGAACTGGTGATAGCTCTGAATGGAGCTGGCTTAGCAGGACATTGGTGAAGTAACTGCAGACGCTCTCTCACCATCTCGCTGCTCTGCAGAGTCGCCTTCACCCGTGTCACCTCTGCCATTTTCTCTTCCAGCTCTCTCTTCAGTCGCTCCATCTCAAATTTCTGCTCCTCCATCTGCAGAGACACCACCTCATGAGCGCCACAGGGTTTTCTGAAGTATGCTTAAAATAACAGCCAAATCTAATTTAGATTACAAACCATTTCAATAATCTTAGTATCAAAGTAAAGCTGACAGGAGACTCCATCAGAAGTACAAGTGTCACAGCAGCTGCAACAGTTTTCAGGGAAATTAAATCAGGATTTTCTGTCCCTCATCAGAGTTTTTTGGCCTTATGCAATATAGGAACCTTTTAGAAATATCATAATCAAGGCTACAAACTTTTGAAAACCTTAGCTCCATCAGTGGACAAAGACTAATGCAGCCGAGATAAACTAAAGCAACTTTACAGAGGTTTGGCACAGGTAAGCACCAGCTACAAAACTGGAAATTTCCTGTGTTTTTACTTGCTGAAATTATTTATATACGTTTACAGTTGCTTGTTTTTTATTTGTTTAATATCCACATAAAATTTTTATACATTTATAATAAAAACAAGAAACTGCCATATTTGACTCTAATCAGAGTAAATTTTTTTGGAAATTCATTGTAAATAAAAAAAAAAAAAAAGCAAGAATAAATTCAGGCTATTTTACAGAAAACCTTTTAAGACCACCAAACTATATACTCAGATTTTCTTTGGCACTACTGGAGCTCCATACAACATCTTTTTGATGTTTCCTGCTCAATTTCTCAACTCAGATGCTCTTATGGGATGCCGCTGTGCTCCAAAAACAATCAATCTATCCCGCAAAATAAAATAAATATCACATTTATTTATTTTATTTGTTTAAAATAAAATAAATAAAGTTGTGTGGGGCTTAATGTAATCACACACACATTTCTTGTGATCCCAGTTAAACAACAAGCACCAACCTTCATGTCCGCCTCCTGTTTGACTCGTTCCACCTCGAAGCTGAGCTGCTGCTTCGTCCTCTCCACTTCCTCCTGAGTCTGCTGGGTGGCCGACAGCATCTTCACAGTGTCTGCGCTCTGTTAGCACATTAGCACACTCAGCGTTACAACACAAGGCCGTCTGGCCACAGTCTAGCTGAAAGCAAACATCTCTGAGCGACTCTGGAGTCTGTACCTTGCGGAGCAGTTCAGCATGGCTGGCCACCAGCTCTGTGTGTTTCTCCTTCAGTTTGTTGTATCGCTGCTCGGTCGCTTGAGCCCTTCCTTCACATTCGGAGATGATCAGGTTGAATTATCTTGCTCATGCTTTGCAGGATTTGCCAAACAAAGTGCTTCATTAACGCATCTTACTCTCTGCCTCCAGGAAGGTGCCCTGTAAACTCTCGTGCTCTGCGTTCCGGCGGCGGTTCGCCTCCAGCTCCATGCGCAGCTGCTCGTTTTCCACCAGCGCGCGCTGCTTGAGCATGCGCTGCTCCTCCAGCTCTGCCTCCAAACTGTTGATTTGGGACTTGAGTTGCGTGACGTAGCGTTGAGCCTTCAGGACCAGAAAGTAGAAAAAGAGTTGAGAAAAGAAGGTTTAAGTTAAAATCCAAAGGCTTTCAAAGGTTTTAACACCACCCTGCAGCATTTTGTCAGATTTAAGTGACGGACCAACACAAACTAACAATTTTTTTTAAAAGATACAAGTCTTTGGGGGTGTTCCTCTACCAGTTTTACAAATCTAGAGACAGAAAATGTTCCCCTATTTTTTGCAAAACAGCTTGAGGTCAGTCAGATTAAAGTCTGAACATCAGTGTTCAAGTCTCACTGGACTGGACTTTGACTGGGTCATCGTATCACATGAATACGCTTTGATCTAAACTCTTCCAATTTAGCTCCGGCTGGATGTTTAGGTTTGTTGACCTGCTTGAATGTGAATCTTCTCTAAAGTCTGAACTCTTTTTCAGCCTTCAACAGTTTTTCCTCCCAGGTTGTCTTAGATCAACTCTTGATCAGTTTCTCTGTCCCTGCTGGAAAAAGCATTCCCACAGCATGATGCAGGTACCACCATATTTCACAGAAGGGGTGGTGTGTTCATGAAAATGTACAGCATAGTTTCCATCACGCCTAGCATTTTGTACGTACCATAAGCCAAGAAATACCAAACACACGTTTGCTGCATGTTCAACATGACTTTCTTTGTCAATACCCTTAATGTCTGTCCGATCCATCAATGTGGTTGACCGTGCCTTGGTACAGCTGCAGCATTCTCTTTCCATTTTCCATTTAGTGTTTTCGAAGATGCTTAACGCTCAGGATATTGTTTTATACACAACTCTGCTTTAAACTTCTCCACAAGTTCCTTGCTCTTCATGATGTAATTTTTTCTCAAATGTTCTCTTAAAAAAACCCTTTGAGGCTTACATATTACATGCTAAACCTTAACATGTTTATTTGTAAAAAAAAAAAAAAAAAAAAAAAAAAAAAAAAAAAAAAACAATTTTTTTTTTTTCTTTTTTCCTTCCTATTTCCCCTCCCCCCCCCACACACCAA